CGGCCCGGAAGGGAGGCGGTGCGGCGGCGGGGAAGTGCGCCCGCCTGCTCCCCGGAGCCCCGGTCCCCGCCTCCCGCACCTCCGGCTCCGCTCCCGCTTGTGGTGCCTGCGGGGGACCGGGCAGGGGCTCTCGGCAGGGCTCCCGCCGCGCTGCGCAGCTGCAGCCGTGAGAAATGAGTCTCCACCGTCTCTCTGCAGACTGACCTTGGTTCAAACCACAGAAGCCCGATTCTTCAGGTCCCGAAGGATGCGAATAACTTAGTGCTCCGTGTTGCGGTGCCCACCCGGGCACGGCTGTCTCCTGGAGAAACAGCCTGAGGAACCGACCTGCCGTACGTCGTGTTACTTTACACCAAGTCTGCAAGACTGTTCTGCGGCTTCCCTTCCTGCAAGGAGCGTCAAAGCAGCATCCTTCCTTTCTGTTGCGAGCTGATACCACTTGCTCATACAAAGACGATGGTCTGAAAGAGGGAGGGCACTGTAGAATAAGTAGTCACACAGTGACATTTAATGTGATGGTTGTTGCCGCGTGGTACCTAATCGGGGCTTCTTGCTGTAGCGCATAGGTGACAACTCTGACCAGCTTCTCTCTTTTTGCAGCGTAGAGCGAGCCCTGCGGAGACGCACTAGAGGGACCACCCCCCATTTCGCATGTCGCTGAGTGGACTATGGTGGCAGGAAGATGTTGGCTCGGAAGAGTATCATCCCTGAAGAGTATGTGTTGGCACGGATCGCAGCCGAGAACCTGCGCAAGCCGCGCATCCGAGACCGGCCACGCAAAGCCCGCTTCATCGCCAAGAACGGGGCGTGCAACCTGGCACACAAGAACATCCGCGAGCAGGGGCGATTCCTGCAAGACATTTTCACCACCTTGGTGGACCTGAAGTGGCGTCACACCCTGGTCATCTTTACTATGTCCTTCCTGTGCAGCTGGCTGCTCTTTGCCATGATGTGGTGGCTGGTGGCTTTTGCCCACGGCGACATGGACCCAAGCACAGAAAGCCCTACGAACAGCACGAAGTGGACACCATGCGTGACGTGTGTCAGGTAAAGTACGGCCGATGGGATGAAGAAAGGGGGGGAACGGAGCTGCCTGCTGTCCTGCCGACGCCTAAAATGCAGCTTTTGGGTTACATGAACCGTTGTGTTTGGTTGAGACAGTTGAAAAGTGCAGTGTTTTCCTCTAGATTACATAAATTCAGCAAGCCTTCCAGGCTTGGAAAATACTGTACTGTAGATGTCTTTGATTCCTTACAGGATCTGAAAGAGAGGGAGACCTGCTGCTTTTCATGTGTCTCCACAATCTGTGGGTAACATACCTTGCCTGTCGAGATAAGAGCCTGCTACAAGAGTGGGTATGTGTTATATGTATTGTAACGTTGTCTTACGGCAGCGGGAGCATCCCCAGCGTGGTGCGAGCTGCTTGCCGCACCGGCAAAAGGTGGCTGCCCCAGGAGAGGCAGGCCACTGGCCATGGGTGTCAGGCAGGGCTAGCAAGAAAAGAGCCGCTGAGGGCAAAACTAGATGTCTTTCAAGATGACTCTCATGAGACAGCTAAATATGGGGTGCTCCAAAATACCTTGGTGAAGCCATAGGCCAGCAGTTTGACAGAGGAACAGTTTCCATGGCATGCATGATGTGTCAGACAGTGAAAGCCGAAGGGACTGCTAGGTTAAACATCACCTGTTGAAGTATTTCACTCTCCATCCCCAAAGCCACGACAATTTTCAAGGCACTGATAAACTTACACATACATACATGGAATACAAGAGTGTTTGTTAATTGGAGGTGGGGGTAAGCAGTAAGATTGCTTCGTCATCTCATCAGTAGAATCTCTTTTTACAGCACTAGGTTTTTAAGCAGAAAAAATCTTGATTCGGTACGGCCAGACTGCCCCAGATCAGCTGCCGTTACACATTGCAGGGCTGGGAGGGACTGGGGGGGGCTGCGGGGGCTGCTAGGACATCAGAGTATCCGCTTCCCTTCTCGCCTTTCTCCTGCACATAGGTTTGAGGCACCTCACCGAGTTTGAAGGCACATTGTATCTGGCTCATGAAGGAGCAGAGATTTCATTCTCCCTTTGTTTTGATGCTTTTTTGCTAAATGGGGGGTTTCCAAGCTAAAGAAAGAGGGATTTTTCCAAGCTAACCTTCATTAGGTTGGGGGATTGGGGCGGGGGGGGAGGGTTGCTGTCTTATTTCTTTTCCAATAACTGGTCACAAGCAGTCGCCTCTTAAATGAGACGTCATGACCCAGCTTGCGCCCACTGGGGTGTCACCCCTGGCGTTTCTGGGATTTCTGGGATTTGTCCAACCAAATTAGCAAGTAGCTACACTCCATCGGCTGTTCAGGGTCAGCCGGGGGTACATCCCTCCGCTTGGTTGGCAGCCCCCTCGGCTTGGCCCACCCCATGGAGCTCCCCACGGGGCTCCTGGGCCACCCCGCAGAGCCTGAGCCGGCTGCCGAGGGCTTCATGCTGCTGGGGCTTTGGCCGCGGCTCTGCCCCTCGGTCCCTCCCCGTAGCCCCGGCTACGGCAGCCCCACGCAGGTGGGACTTCCAGGATGGCTGCTAACCTCCGCTGCGAGGCCAGCCTGGAGGGCTGTGAAAAAGCAGAGCAAATTAATTGGTGTAACTTTCTGGTTTAGCCCATGACAAAGAACGCACGTCACTCCCTCGTGCAAGTACCTGCGGTGGTTCAGCCAACAGCTGCTCAAGTATCCATGTCCAAGCCACGGAAAATCTTTTCCCTTCATAGCGAAATACTTCATCTTGTTAAATCTGGATACCGCTTTGGACAAAGTCATGAAATAGCAATATGATTGCTGACATTTTTAAGAATGGCGAGTTGCTGGATGTAAAATGTATTTAATATTACAATTACATGTATGCCAAAATAAAGGCAAATATTTTTTAACCTACTCTCCTGAGATTTAGGCCCACGGATATTTCAGAAGAGCTTTCTTGGATAGGTGCCATTACAGATTTACAGGAAACCTGGTTTTGGAAATTTTAACCAGTGCCTAGAACTTGCACAGCACTTTCATTTTTCAAAGTACTGCAGAAATGTCTAAGTTTCACAGCTCTTTGCCACACAAAGCAAACACTATCCAAAGAGGAAAACTGTTACACAGCTCTAAAGGGAAGGACCTGGGAATAGTGTGACTTGGAGTTTCTGGCTCACTCTTCACGTGGTCAAAACACTGTACAAACATGCTGCTTCAGTTACTTCCACTGTAGAAAGGTGGATTTTCCTTTCCTTTCCTTTCCTTTCCTTTCCTTTCCTTTCCTTTCCTTTCCTTTCCTTTCCTTTCCATACTGTTAAGAAAAATCAGAATATTTAGTCCACAGAGCTTTAATTTGAATTGAGTTGAATTAAGTTTAAGCCAGAAGCTTCATTCTGCATGTAAGTGAATATTCATGAATGTAAGAAATCATTCCATGAATTCTATTAATTAACTCCTTCATCCCTGATTTCTTCAGAGTGAAATGCAAAAATAAACCCCTCAATACAAGGGAATCTGCCAAAGATTAAAAAAATAGAAAAGGCAGAAGAAAGACAAAGTTCTTTCAAAGAAAGTCTCTGCAGAGACGCTGATTTTCTGAAAGGTGAACTTTCTCATTCTACAGAAAATTATCCCTGATATTGCCTATGCTATTTTACTGTCTTCTCATGACCCCAGGTTCACTGAAAATATGGTTAGGAAAAAAAAAAGAAAACGTTATTTAAAAGCAGATTAATTGAAAAGCAAACCAAACTCAATGAATGGTTTAGAACCATCTTCGTGGACAGGACACATATTTTCCATAGGTAAAGCCATGCTGAACATGATAATGCTTCAAATGTTGGTGGGTTGCACTGTGTTAAAAGGGTGACTATGATGTTAGTTCCTTTCCTCCTTTCCTTTCCTTTCCTATCCTGTCCTTTAGTTTCCGTCCCTTTCCTTTCGTTTCCTTTCCTTTCCTTTTTCCTTTCCTTTTGGTTTCCTTTCCTTTCCTTTCCTTTCCTTTCCTTTCCTTTCCTTTCCTTTCCTTTCCTTTCCTTTCCTTTCCTTTCCTTTCCTTTCCTTTCCTTTCCATACTGTTAAGAAAAATCAGAATATTTAGTCCACAGAGCTTTAATTTGAATTAAGATGAATTAAGTTTAAGCCAGAAGCTTCATTCTGCATGTAAGTGAATATTCATGAATGTAAGAAACCGTTCCATGAATTCTATTAATTAACTCCTTCATCCCTGATTTCTTCAGAGTGAAATGCAAAAATAAACCCCTCAATACAAGGGAATCTGCCAAAGATTAAAAAAATAGAAAAGGCAGAAGAAAGACAAAGTTCTTTCAAAGAAAGTCTCTGCAGAGACGCTGATTTTCTGAAAGGTGAACTTTCTCATTCTACAGAAAATTATCCCTGATATTGCCTATGCTATTTTACTGTCTTCTCATGACCCCAGGTTCACTGAAAATATGGTTAGGAAAAAAAAAAGAAAACGTTATTTAAAAGCAGATTAATTGAAAAGCAAACCAAACTCAATGAATGGTTTAGAACCATCTTCGTGGACAGGACACATATTTTCCATAGGTAAAGCCATGCTGAACATGATAATGCTTCAAATGTTGGTGGGTTGCACTGTGTTAAAAGGGTGACTATGATGTTAGTTCATATGAGACCCAATGTGCTGCATGTCTACCGGATAAACCCCAGGGTACTGATTGGGAGCATGAGACGTTGGTGAAGGATGTATCTGGTTATAGAAGGAAATGAAAGACCCTGGTGTATACAGGGAATATGGCATTGTGGACTACTATAAACAATGTATTTGGAAAGTTTGTGGACAGCATCCTCTGATGTCTGGCACTATAGCATATTAGGGACGTTTAACTTAACCCACACTTCTACAACCCACTCCTGTGTTGAAATTTTCCAGCTAGTCTTGCCACGGCAGTGAACTAAGCCCAAACCCTGGGTCACAGCGTTGTCCTCCTGCCGGGATGTGCAGAGGGGACCATGGAAGGCCACTGGCCTCTCTCTGCAGCCTGATCCTGCGGGCTCAGTTGCAAGGCAAGCAAGGGTTTGGGAAGTATCATGAATCTTTTTCCTCCAGGAAATCCTGCTAAAGGGGGTCACGACTCGGGTAGTATGGGCAAAATGCCTCAATTTTCCCCATTTCCTTTCACTGCACAGGCTGGTGGAAGAATCTTGGTGTGCCAGCCAATTGCCCACTATTGCCAAAACCGCCGCTCTCCACCAAGAGCTTCATTGAATGGTGAAAGTGGAAAGCCCGGGTGTTACAAAATTGTCAACTAACACAGTGGTTAGCCTGTGTTCCTGAACAGAGGATCTAGTGAGCTTCTCAGGGTCACCCAGTGTTACAGACAGTCTTTTAGGAGTTCAGGCTCTGAGGTCTTCCCTGTCACCATCAGATACTGCACCAATCATAAAAAAACAGAGTCACTGAGCATGCAATGCTTTTGTTGATGTTAACAGAAGGCTTACATGTACCAGGACTGTACAAATAGGTCCTTAAGTTTTTTTCTAGAAAGTATATGTTAATAGCTTCTCAGTTTGTGTTTGATGTCCTTAGAGTTAACTTCGTGCAATCTTCTTCTCCAGGTCTTTCACCTCTGCTTTCCTCTTCTCCATTGAAGTTCAGGTGACCATTGGTTTTGGGGGCAGGATGATGACAGAGGAATGTCCCTTGGCCATCACGGTTTTGATCCTGCAGAACATTGTGGGTCTGATCATCAACGCCGTCATGCTGGGCTGCATATTCATGAAAACCGCACAAGCTCACAGGCGGGCTGAGACCTTGATTTTCAGCCGGCAGGCGGTCATTGCAGTTCGAAATGGCAAGCTTTGCTTCATGTTTCGAGTGGGAGACCTGAGGAAGAGCATGATCATTAGTGCTTCAGTGAGAATCCAGGTTGTGAGGAAGACTACGACCCCTGAAGGAGAAGTCATACCCATTCACCAAGTAGATATCCCTGTGGATAACCCCATTGAAAGCAACAATATTTTCCTCGTGGCTCCCTTAATTATTTGTCATGTCATAGACAAGCGGAGTCCTCTTTACGATATCTCTGCTGCTGACCTGGTGCTCCAGGACCTGGAGCTCATCGTGATACTTGAAGGAGTCGTAGAGACGACTGGCATCACGACACAGGCGAGAACCTCTTACATAGCAGAGGAGATCCTGTGGGGTCACCGCTTTGTGCCCATCGTCACTGAAGAGGAAGGCGTGTACGCAGTCGACTACTCCAAGTTTGGCAACACCGTCAAAGTGGCGGCGCCACGTTGCAGCGCTCGAGAGCTTGACGAGAAGCCGTCCATTCTCATCCAGACCCTGCAGAAGAGCGAGCTGTCCCACCAAAACTCCCTGCGGAAACGCAACTCCATGAGGAGAAATAACTCCATTCGGAGGAGCAACTCCATGCGGAGAACAAATCCCTCCCTCATCGTGCCCAAAGTGCAGTTTATCACGCCTGAAGGGAGCCAGAGTGCCTCAGAAACGTGATACACGACCTCTGTGCAAGGTCGGTGGGCTTCAGGAGGAGGAGGCACCTGTGGTGTTTTGTTTAAATTTTCTTTTACTTAAGAAAATGAGAACACGATGCAGAAAAGAACCGTGCAAGAACTATTTATTCTATTACTTACTGAAAGCATCACCTAATGGCATTAGGAAACACTTTAGCACTTAGTGTATGAATTAATTAAAAATGGCATGTACACTAAAGAAAACACAGTTCACTCATGTAATATAATGTGTATTTATACTTGTTTTAATGGCATGTTATTTTTTTTAATCTTATTTTTCCAATCCAGGGTCTCTTTCTTACGTTTTTCTGCTGGCTGTCACAAAATGTGTTTTTTGTCTATGTAAGTGGGTTACGCACCTGCAGGCAGAAGTGAGTGCTTTTTCAAAACTGCTGCCTACAACAACTCCCACAGATTTTTGTGCAGGATATTTGTATATTGATCTTTTTGGGGTGAATTCCTTGTTCTTTTGAAAGGAGTAGCTAAATTCCTCAATGATTTCACTGGAGAAGAGCCAGGATTTTACCTTCAGTTTTTCAGATCTTTTCTTTCCATCTATTTATGGCAAAGGCATTTTGAGAGCAAATTCAGGTCAGCTGAAGTGACCTGACCATCCCACAGGAAAACTGGTGCCACTCAGCACAGCACCGGCAGAAGAACCAGCAAAATGGCACAGCCTCTTGCAGAGCACTGCTCTTCTTCTCAGGATGAGATATTCCACTGCGGGACAGCGTGCATCTGTAAAGTAGCTTTAGCCCAAGCTGAGGAACTCAAGTCCTCCCAGCTGCCACTTGAGCATCCATTTTACTGAAATTATTCGAACTGAAAAAAGCACACGCCTCTAACATCCTCTTCATATCGGCAGAAGACCAAATCCTATTTTGTTTTCTCTTATAGATTCATACACTGAAGGCAACAAGTGTACTTCTTTCACTTACAGTCTTTTTTGTAGGATTAAGTCTGTTCACTTCAGCAGAAGGTTACTTTTTGCCAGTGGGAATTCACGAATGGGAATGAGAGGGAGCCATGTCAATAACATTAAAGATAGTATTTTCAAAACTATCTGAATAATTTTCAGGGGGACTTGGGTGCTGCTGCTGAATTCCTGCTTTTCAGCAGTGTTTCACCTATGTTTTTATATAACATGGCATTGAGAATTGGTGGTAAGCAGCTTTTCTCATACCATTCAAATGGGCATTTGTTATCTAGAGCCTTCCCAAAAATGTCATCACAAGTTTTTCTACAAGAATAAATAAATGTTTGACAACTATTTGTATCACATTTGATAATGCTAAATTGATGCACATTTTTTTTCCTCTGTGAATAAGAAGTATAATTATGGACGAATTCCAGTTCATATTTCTTATAGGAGTTGCCTTATTATGTCTGTGGCTCAAGAGAAGTACTATCCCTGTGCTGATCTCCGAGCCACTCAACTACTTAAATACTTTTATAATTTTAAATATTTGCTTGTTCCTATCAGGTAAAATAGTCAAAAACAAGGCCGGATTCTCATTCTCTTCAGAAGTCAGTTCATCAGCACTTGTTTGGATGGTTTGCAGGCTTCGTGTGTTGTTGGGTGGTGGCACAGAAGGGCATTGCTCTGTAGTGTAGGCTCCCTACATTTGGAGCAGGTGTTCTCCAGAAAATAAACACTGACAAAATACTTCATCCGTAGCAGTAGCGGAAACTGAAGTTTCTGCTAAAAGCATTCATTCCCTGGCCTGCCCATTAATGTTGTGGGAGGATGGATGGTGAACATCTGGAGACATTAATCTGTCCATTGTGTGTTGAAACAATGAACACCTGTAGCTTCCAAGAAGAGTCAGAGTGAAGCATATACAATTTGTCTCTGGCTTCCATTTCCAGGGCTGTGAATTTCTTGAGGCTGTCTGTTTGATAAATGATTAAGTCAGATGCTGTACAAAAGCAAATTTTCTATGAAATAAAAAAGTGACAATAATGATTATTTCTTTCCCTTTTTTTCTTTGTATTCTCCATTCATTCTTCTATACTTAGTTCTTCTTGTATCCCAGCCTTTTCCATGGTCCTTTTGAGTAATAATTTGATATTATCTCAATACTCTCAGTATTTCAGCTGAGATTTTTTCTACCCACAGCCATTTTCTCATTTTCTCCTTAAGTACATTCTTCCTTCCAATTTTTATTTCGCCTCCATGTCTCTCTCTGCTTTATACCTAATGTACTCTCTTTCCCATAAGGCTATTACAGGGATATTGGTATTTTGAGGTAACACTAAGGCACCTCAGTCATATGCAAGGATGCTGAACAGATACACCAGGCAGACTCTTGTGTCATGAAAGTCATGTTCATATGTGCTCCTTGCAGAAAATCCCTTGGTGCAAAGCCTCTTTCTTGAGCAAGTTTTGCAGTCCTGGAAGAAGCCGGCAGCAGAAAGAGTCAGGGTAAGCCACCCAGCCGGCCGTGGGGAGAGGTGGGGATCTTTTGGGGCTGGGAGCCGTGTTCCTCACTGAAGGACAGGTTTCAGACCCAGCTTTGCAGCATTGTGCCTGCCAAGAGGGGATGAGCTGGTAGCACCACAGTTCAATATGTTTAATTATTTAGTCTTCCTGGCAACTTTATCAGGTGAAGAGGGCTTTATTTTAAATTTGAAGTTTTCTGTGTTTAAAGTACACTGTCAAGTTAAGAATGACAGTTGAGATTTCTACCAAATATTGCTGACAGTTCATGCTGGCATTTACCTGTCCATCTCTCTCATTGGTAATAATTTAGAAAATCAGATGCAATAATGTATAAGCATTATCTGACTGCCATCCCTTCACACTTATTTGTGTCCCTACCATTCCCATCCTGCTGTGATATGGTGTAACTGGAACTGTGTTATTCAACATTGCTTATTTTCTGTGCATTTAATACGCTGGCTCTTTGAACTTGCTGACAGTTCATGCTGGCATTTACCTGTCCATCTCTCTCATTGGTAATAATTTAGAAAATCAGATGCAATAATGTATAAGCATTATCTGACTGCCATCCCTTCACACTTATTTGTGTCCCTACCATTCCCATCCTGCTGTGATATGGTGTAACTGGAACTGTGTTATTCAACATATTGCTTATTCTGTGCATTTAATACGCTTTGGCTCTTTGAACAGCCTACCACACAGATGTCGCTATCACTGGTGTAGCCTTCTGTAGAGAGCAAAACTATTTCCTAAGAGTAGAAAACTGATTATAAAATCCTTCCAGGACAGGTGTAATATCTGGAACTGCATTTTATTTTTTCTTTCTAGCCTTAACTTAAAGAATTTCTCTATTTTAAACAGAAAAATGGCAGTGCAACCCTTTGTCATCTCTTTGGATACCTAGAAGATTCAGAGTTACCATAGTGGGGATGTAGAGAGCAAATAAACACAGACAGCACTTAGAGGGGATAATGCTTAATGCTCCAGGGTCGAAGCCAACCTCTGAGTAATAGCATTTGGAGGAAATTTTCCCTGTTGGCAGGTTATCCTGTAGCTGTCAACTTCAGGATTTCTTGCGTTCTCTTTTGAAACATCTGCTGCAAGCCAGGGACAGAGGCAGGACCCCAGCGTGGGCCCACCCTGAGTCGGGCGGGTAAATCAGGTCTCTGCAGGAGGGCTGGCAGACCGCAAACACGAGGGCTCTTCCTTTCCTCCCACCCAGAGCAATGCCACCAAACCTCACAGTGAAGCCAGCCACTGGAGATCCCCAGCTGCAGCCAAGCCTTGCCAGCACGTACAATGTACGGTCATTGAGTGCTGCCCACAGAGCCCAAAAAGTTTCGCTCCAGGAGGAGTCCTCAGCACCCGTGGCACGGAGGAGAGCACTGCCAAACCAGACAGGGCTCAATGTGGGGTTTAGGGCTGCAAGCTGGAGGGGATAACCTGGCTGAGCAGGGCTGCTGGGGTGATCTGCACCACAGGCAAGGCAGCAGCATTGGCCTTCAAGCCTAGGCTGGACCAGGGCTGCTGAAGATACAAGCAGGATAGGCACCTAAGCATTAAAAGCTAATGGAAGTGGGATTGTGAGTCAGCAAGCAATAACTGGGTGTATTTTGGGTGCCCTGGGGCACCCTGTCTGGCCCCCACAGCTGCTCAGACAGCCAGTTGTCTCCCATCAGGGCCATGCCACTCCTGCCCGCTCAAAGCACCGCTCTTGGGCAACCCAGCTGCTCCCTGCTCTGCGTACCAATGCCCCTAAAGCCTGCTGCAAGCCGCGCTTGGAACCTCTCCATAACACTTGGCATTACTGTGGCCTTGTAAAGTGATCCCCCTCCTGAGTATTGCTTCATGGGCACGTGTTGCACCACAGCAGTTTGCCCTTGCAAATACAACGGCTTGGCTCCATCCACAGAAAGGTTAACCCAAGCTTTCTGGGATACTCAAGACATTGTACAGCAAGAGATCAAGAAGTATAGAAGTATAGATATAGAAGTAATACCTCATGCATGCAATTGGCCTTCACCCTAACGCCGTGTCTTTCTGTAGGCCATCAGGTCATTTCAGAGGCACAGGACTCAACTTACCTCACAGCCATCTTGAACATATTTCACCAAGGCATGCGCCTTTATCTATATTGCATAAAGGTCAGGCAAGGAATTACGCTTTTGCTTTTCCATCTGGAAAGTGGTATGCACACACTATTCTTGCTGACTGGAAAAACATGGCTAATTCGGCATATCTTTTCTTCCTTCACAAACTAGGATTGAGGACATTTTGTGAAACCAGTTTCCAAGCTCTCCAGTGATTATTATTAGCAAATGCTTGTTGCTGCAAGTCGAAAAAGTAGTTAGTCCAAGACCAGAAAGGAACTTTGACTGGAGAAAAAAAACATTAGATATTATATGATGAAAGGAAGAAAGCTTTCATTATTTTTGACAAATTATACTCTCTGCGAAGCCTGATATTTTCAAAACACTGGTGGGGGTTTGGAAGGCACCATCAAGCAATAAATCATGTCCTGCTAGACTCTGATTTTGTGCTGTGCTACTATTAGCAACAGGGTTTTGTAGCCCCAGCACGGCATCCTACAAGTGTGCGTCAGCCTGATCTCCAGATGCTTGCAGTCACCAAATGATACTGCGGATTTGTGGTGAGCTGGGTGGTGGCTGACTCCAGGAGCTGTGGTCACCACACTCCATGGGGAATGATGCTGGGGCTCGTGGATGCAGGGCTGGGGCTGGAGGCAGCAAGGACCCTGGTGTCAGT